TTAAATCTCATACATAATAATAATAGTAATAATAATAGCAATAATAATAATAACAGCGTGTCTAATTTCATACTGACTGACTAATTAGTTTCAACATAGAGAAATTAGCACACATGTGCACCAGTTCAAGTTGTCACACTCTCTCCTTGTAGCACACAAACCCAGAGAACAATGACAATAAAGACAGATTCAAAATAGATAATAATAAACACAAGTGTGAGTGAGGGAAAAAGAATAGTAGTAATAATATGGAAGAAAAATCGAGTTTCATTGGATATGTCAAATCATCTCACAAAGACTGAATGTATCTCAGCCATCATCGAGAACGATGAGTTTGAGTCATATCACCAATTGTCTCCAGCCTCCATTGGGTTTTTACCATCTTGAGGATCCAAACCAGGAAGTCTATACCTTCCTATCTAATTCCATATTAGATAAGCTTATTTCAAATATCACACACACAGTGATGATGCAGTCTTAATATTAACTGTATATCATGGTTTCGAAAACACAATTTGCCACTCCTCATAATCATATCAGTTTCTTCAGATAGCTTCACAGCTTGTCTTATATACATACGTGTATTTTCTCTCTTTCCCTCTCTTCCTCTTATTGTTTGTTATCACCTTCCATATCTCTGTCATAGGTGTTGCGTCATTTTAATTCCACGTGTTCGGTGTTGACTCGATGATAAACAAGGATTCAATGATTAACCTTTCAAAACAAGCAACAAATGTGGTTAATAAAGCAGGATTTAATGATGAATTCAAACAAATTTCGGTAGAACTCGTCAACTGAATACTCTACTCTACATACACAGGTATATATACTATTGAAATTACATTAGGAGATATAAGACTGATAAGCACAAATAAACTACATTGAATTAGTCTTGCAGAAAGACAGGTGTGAATATTTTCCAGGTCATGTTCAAATAGATAAGGGGAGAGAGAGTATGAGAGATCAAAATTAAGATAAAATGCATTACGCTTCAATTGCATCACTTAGATAAACAATTAGTGATTAGAGAATATACCAAGAATTGCAAACAGAGTAATATCAATAGTAATAGTTATAATAATAATAGTAGAGTATTCAGCTGACAAGTTCTACAGAAATTCGATGAATCCATCATTAAATCCTGCTTTATTAACCACATTTTTTACTTGTTTAAAATTCGCATCGGGAAATAGATGTCTTCGATTAACCTTTCACTCTACCTATCTAGATTACTTTCGAATACTCTCACTCTGTCCCACCCACTATCCTGTGGTGTTCGAGTGCATGCAAGTGAATGTTATGCAATGACCGACCTCTGTTTTCTAGCTTATTTAACTTCACAGGGTCAATCCTTCTAGGTCTAGCTAAACTTTTTCCTGTTCCAATAATCTAGTTGGTTCTGATCTATTAGTTTGACTGACCTATGTAATTGACCTTACTTACAGTAGTCAGCATTACATGATATTTATGTATTTTTATATTATCTTTCTTAATTGGATCTATCGAGCGGGTCCTTAATCCGACAGAGTTTATCTCTCTGATAGAGTTGGTTGGATGGCTGATTTAAATGCCCCCTCCCCCGACTAAATCCAACCTCACTGAGAATCCTACGTGGAGCCTCTCACATTCCTCCTTTTAAGGAGCATAAAATTCTAGCTACACCTAGAAGGATTGACCCTGCGAAGTTGAATAACCTAGAAAACAGAGGTCAGTCATTGCATTGCATAACATTCACTTGCATGTAATCACGCAGCATAGGTTGGATGGGATAGCGTGTGGGCATTAAAACGTGATATATTTAGGTGGAGAGATGGATGGGTTAGTCATCAAGTCAGCACCAAGAACGTGGAATCGAAATGACGCAACACCTAAACCGGAGATATGGAAAGTGGTAACAAACAACAACGGGAGAGAGATAAAAATATATATAAAACAAGCTGTGTAGCCGTCTGAGGAGGATGATATGATTATGAGCAGTGAAAAATTGTGCTCGAAACCATGTTATACAGTTATTATTGATACTGCATCATCACTGTGCGTGATACTTAAAATAAACTTATCGAATATAGAATTACATTCTACATTGTACACGGCAGTGTCCAAGTTCTACACTTACATTAATAGTGTGTCTGTTGATTGCTGAATCCTTTGAGTACCACCACGCTAACCATGGCGGCTTCTAGGAATTCTCTGGCTTTGCAAATAAACCAACCTGTCCAGCTAGCTCAGAGAGACCTGACCGATAGCTGCTACCTTGACATGGTGGTCGAGCTTGCACATCACAATGATCCAACAAGCTACATTGGTTGGAACTATTGCTCCTGCAGGTCCTACCATGCCAGGAAGGTTGTTACGATAGCGATTAGACTAAAAGCAGTTACCGGCTTAGAGTAAGAATTTTTCTTTCTTACACTATGCTGTGAGTCTGTGGGAGAAGTCGTACTGCTGGGGAATAGGGATGTAACAGCAGTGAGGTGTTTCCCTCAGATGACCAGCATGCCAGCCAGCTATGCTGTCTCTCCACTCCAGAGAGAGGGGGTTAGCAAAGGTCGACACCAACAACTGCACATCCCGACTTACCCCACCTACGGTGGTCCGTAACCGGCGGTAAGTTAACTAAAACGGAACTAAACCAAGTAACTAGTTCATACAGGCCGTGTGTGACTGGCCTCAAGCAGTTGTCCTCTGGGCAGCTGGGAAGTAACAACCGCTCACACACTTCCAGGAGCACACAAAGCCTCTCCGAGCATCATTCTCCTTCACCTACATCACCTAGCTCAGAGAGAAGGCGATCACTACATCGAAATTGTTTCTATTCATTCAAGTGTCCACACAAATCATATTGAATAGAGATAAGAGGAACCATGTGAAATGTTTAACGAATCCAAACACATTTAACACCAAAATAGAAGGAGAGGTGTATATTCAAGTTTATCGATCAATGATTGATAAATCAACAATAAAAAGGCATCAAAATATTTCTCTTCAAAACACTGAATAATGTAAATAGGTAAAACAAAGTGTAAAGTTAATTGTCACCAATATCTGCACTTTTGCTGTATGCAGAAGATCAGTTGGCGGATCAAGAAGGAAGACACTGGAGACCAAACAATCAAGAACCTACCGTCCAACAAAGATCCAAAAGGAAATGGGGACAAACTCATCATACACACTGAGGAGACAGACTGTAGCGACAGTGGAACTCGAATGGAAAACAAGGAATTCGATTTGTGACTAGGAGGATGGTATTGAGGAGATCATAATAAGCGGCGTGGTTGAGGTGGGGGTAGGGGCAAATGAAAGTGTCCAGATAGAGAAGTTTCTCTGTTAGCCGTGAAATCGTGATTCATCCATGCACTGATATAATATAACCTTATTGGACAGTTTTTGATTCGTTTAGTTATTTCATGGAAAATTCCCATTCGGCGGGGGGGGGGAACACATACAGAAAACCAAAACAAGTGGTGATTCAGCGAAGAGGCTCTCTTCAACAACGAATTTATTATCAAGCTGTGCAGCCATATTTACGTGGCCTTTTTAAGAAATTATATCCGGTGAGGGAATTGAATGATAGATGTGAACGCATAAAATAATAATAGTAGTAATAGTATGAAATGCAATTCAAATATTTGTGATTATAATCATAGTTAAATGTCATGTGGCGAAACAATTAACGTCACATATAGAATAATAGATACGATGTAAAATGTTGGAAAGGGGTGCATAGTTATTGGATTAGTAGGCAAACAGAATAAAAATAGAGACGTTACGTAACGACGTTATGTAAGATTTGATAACATAGAATTTGACGTTACAAAACAAAGTCGATTTAGAATGACAAGCGTGATGAGTAATATAATACCCGGGTACAATTCAAAGTGAGAATAGTAACAATAGTAACAATTGACGTCATAAAGGAAGAGTATACAAAGTGAAAAAATTGGTAGAGCCAAAATATGATTAGGGATTATCATACTTCAGCACAGAAGGATTAAGACCATGCAAGTTGCAGGGGTTGAACGAATGTTTTCTGTTTCGACAGTCAACGCTTCAGCAATACAGATGAGTTGGATACGTCATGATTGAGGCAAATTACTTTTCACCTTGTAGATGACTTTAAAGGCTTGGGCTGTAGAGATAGGGTGATCATTATCGACCAGATGTTCAATAATTGTGCTTCTTATAGCTCCTCACCTCCACCTCTTCATAATCATGCAGGATAGTGTTCTTGCACCTTTCTGGACAAAACTCGAGTCGAACAACCAACAGACCTAACTCCACACGAGCAAGTGAATTATTCTATAAGTGACGTTAATTGTTTCGCCACTTGACATTTAACGATGATTATAATCACAAATATTTTAATTGCATTTCATACTACCACTATTATTATCAGTTTATGCATTCACATCTATCATTCAATTCCCTAACCGGATATAATTTCTAAAAAAGGCCATATAAATATGGCTTCTCAGCTTGATAATAAATTGTTTGAAGAGAGTCTCTTCGCTTCTAATTATATGCCCAGACATTGTCGAAGCATCTGCACAAGAAAACAACAGACATGTCAACCTGAGACCAAGCACTTCAGTCCAATCAATAGACGGGGAAATCTAAAATTCAATAAAATAATTAATATAACCCGTTGCACAAGAGGTGGGTGGTTCTCGTGGCCCAAGTGGTCTAGTGGATAACACTTTGGTGTTTGAAACTATGGGCACTGGGTTCGAGCCCTGGTGGTGGGAACACCATCACTCACTGACTGGGGAATCCAGGTACATCCACTGGTTGACGAGTCCCAAATAGGACGAAATGCGCATCCTGGCTGGATTCCATTGCTAGTCACCGTCCACCAATTCAATTCCAAATGTGAAGTCAGTTAAAATAGAATGGCGAGAACGGAGATTGTGCTGCTGAAGAATTGCAAGTTAATAATAATAATAATGATAATAATAATACAATAAAATAATATCATCACTGTCAATGTGAACAATACTCACTTGCCATACAACTTAACAGGCTATGATGAGCCAGTACAAATAATTCAGCTGTACTCTTTGAAGTTGGTTCCTCCAGTATACAATAATCTATTAGAGAGGAAAAAATAATACAGAGAGAGGATTGAAAGGGAATAAGAATTTTTTAAAATTTCATTTATAGTTCAATAATTCTGAACAGTAGAGAAAATTTGTAGCTCAGGTGGATGATTTGCAATTAATAGTGTTCTCTGAGCTGGTTGGTCTAGTTGCGGTGCTTTCGTCGTCCTCCTGGACAACATCCCCTTTCAGCGCAATATTTAGCATAAAGTGAAATGATTTAAATTTCTTCATGAATGACGATAGAATTGCGTCTCCCGGTAACCATCTTTACACATGTACTGCCATTTTCTATTGACTTGGATTTTAAACTCTGTGGTCATCTGATTTACTTTTTATTAGTTGGTAGATTTCGTCTATATTAACGTGCTTGTTAATTGCATTTTCGTTTGAGTACCAGGCTTCTAGGAATTCCCTGACTGCACTTTTGGTGTTTCCCCTGTCTAATATTTTGACATTATCCCAATCAAATTGATGACCATAATTGTCTATATGCATTGATACTAAAGAATACATATCGTGCCTTTTCACGGCTGATTTGTGTTCTTTGATTCTGATTCGAAGGGGACTCCCACTTTGGCCGATGTTTGTTACAGTTCACACAATTTATTGTGTAAATGGTATTAATTTTATCTCCTTTTTCTGTTGGATCTTTCGGTTTGCATAATATCGATATATATTGTCCATTTAGACAATTATGGATATCAGTTTAATTGGGATAGTGTCGAAATTTTAGACAGAAGAAACACTAAAAGTGCCAGGGAATTCCTAGAAGCCTGGTACTCAAACGAAAATGCAATCAACAAACACGTTCATATAGACCAAATCTACCAACTAATAAAAAGTAAATCAGATGACCACAGAGTTTAAAATCCAAGTCAATAGAAAATGGCAGTACATGTGTAAAGATGGTTACCGGGAGACGCAATTCTATCGTCATTCATGAAGAAATTTAAATCATTTCACTTTATGCTAAATATTGCGCTGAAAGGGGATGTTGTCCAGGAGGACGACGAAAGCACCGCAACTAGACCAACCAGCTCAGAGAACACTATTAATTGCAATTTCTGAACAGTGTTATTTCATTGATTATCTTCGATTATCTTCGGCATGAATTGAAATTAGTCGAAGAAATGTTGCATGAAACATTTATGAAACATCTGCTTCACTTACTCTCCTCCCCCTCCACCTCTTCCTCATCCTCGTCCTCTTTCTAACCAAATATCTAATGAGAAAACCTCATCGTAAATGTTGGTGATTTCATTGGAAACGCCATCTCTCCCCCAGTGACAGACAGAGAGTGCACTTATATCCAGCTGATGACTCCCAAGACTAGAATGAAATACACTGACAGTTACCATCCGTAACCGAAGTAACACTCGTATTTACCTCAAGGCATCGTTGAAGCATTCGTATTAAGAGCCCCCGACATACATATCATCAAAAAGGGAACAAATAAGTATCTGATACTCGGTTGTATAAAAGAGGTGATAAACGTTTCCTACCCAATAGACTGACTAGTAGACAATGATTTAACGTTTGGATCTCTGTGAGAACACTAACATTCACTAGGGAAGGATACAGGTAAATTCAGATGATGAAAGGCACCTACCCACCTCCTGAATTCAACTGCTATCCAGTTTATAAAACATAAAATAATTGAGCAAAGAATATCCTTTTCGATAATTCCCCCCCCCCTTCTGACTCTACATGGATGTTACTTTTTTTGATTATGAAAAATGAGGAGGAAGCAAAGAACATCCTGGATAAATTTAATGAGGTTCTTCCTGCAATAAATGTTAGTATTGAGAAAGAAAAAGACTCCAGTATTTCATTTCTAGATGTCCTTATGGCCAGAAAAGAGGATGGTACAATAAGAAGTGTACATAGAAAACATACATCAACGGGTCAGTATACGCATTTTTTTCAGCTTCGTACCCTTGAAATACAAACGCAATCTGATAAAGTGCTTCGTTCACCCAGCAAGAACAATTCGCTCGGATGAATGTCTTGATGAGGAACTTAATAATATTACACGGTTGCTGAGTGAAAACAGTTATCCAGAAAAGTTTATTGATAAGAATATGAATTTAAAATCAAAGCTATCCAAGGTACCAACAATTCCTAAAAAGGCCTTATTCTTAGAAATACGGTAAAAAGAGCGTTCCCTGCTACTGAATTACTCTGTGTCTTCAAAACCACCCAATCCTATTTTGCGTTCGGGAGTAAAAGATAAACTGCCTAATTTCGCCTATTCCATGTGTATCTACCGATCAATTTAACTGCTCCTATGGAGTGAGCCAGTTAGTTGCATAGACCGTACAATTAGACGTGTTTCTCGTTGCATTTCCGAACATCACCCTCCATAGTGGCTAAGTAAAGGACAAACAAAATCTATTCACAGCACTATTCTCTCTTATCTTGTGGATACAGAACACAAGATTGACGTTAACCAGGCTTTCAGGATCATTTACTGCATACCTACGAATCTTAATTTCGCCTGAAGAGTTCGACTACTAAATATTGCTGAGGCTGTGGGGATCCATATTAACAAGCCTAATTTGTGCATCCAAAAGAAGCTAGTTGAGACATTATCCTTACCCCGCTGGTTATCTAGGTTTGAATGATCCTCAATTTTTGTTGAAACTTCCCTAATTTTAGTTGATATTCTATTTGGTATGATATCTTTATTATCTTTATTATTATTATTATTGAAATTTAAGCATCTTTAATGAACTGTAATTCCATGATGATCTTACTTTACAAATCGATATTATTTAAAAAACACTAATATTGATATTGACTACTATTCTACAATAATATTCTATGTATATAAACATGCATATATAATTGTAGAGCCAGAAGAGGAGGAAATTATCGAAAAGGATATTCTTTGCTCAATTATATTGTGTTTTATAGATGTGAATTTTATCAGGTGGTTAGTTTTCGACAATTTTAGATTACATGGTTGGTTAAAGGAATTTTGTAATGCATATCAAATATTATACCGGTGTCTGTTTCAAAAAATATTTTATCAACCATCTTTCTAAGCAACTGCAACATCCTATTGTAGTGCTGGCTACATCGCGCGCGAAAACACCTCGAGTTTACCTGGTTAAAACAAAATTCAAATCTCGCGCCATTCAGATAAATTTTAAAAAATCGAATCATTTAAACAACAAACAACTTACTGCGTAATATTTCTGCAGCACAAGATAATGATAATTCTGGTAGACTTAAATTTAAATGATGCATTAATCGTCCAGAGACACGTAAATGTTCAGTTATTCGTTTAAACGACGGGAAATGTCGCATAATCACTTCACGTTCTTTTAATGGGAAATCAAAATAATTATATTCATCAGTTTCAGGACAATAATCTCGACTGAGGAGTAATAGTAGGACTGGATACATTGCTTCACGAACAAGATTACTTCTAGCTGTAATGCCTAATTGATTAAAACCTTGAAGATTGGGAGAGGGAGAGAAATAAAAAAAAATAATCAAAAGGGTATAGGGGAGAAAGAGGATGTTAACAGAATGTATAACAGGTATTAGTCTGTGTGAGTACACACTAAAATCGATAATAGTTGACTTAGTAGACTGTGAGTAATACAGGCCTAATGCCCTAACGAAAGCTACTCTAATCGCTAATTACGACACACCATCATCATCATCATCATCACCACCACAGGCGGCACACGAAAACGTAGGAAAGAAGACCGGTTGCCGACTAAAGAGATTTTACTATCTTCAACAATAGTTAAAAAAGTTTACAGCGATACTGTATATAGGTATAGTGCTTGCGCTGAAATCATGAATTGGTAGGAGTTAGAATTCATGGGCTGACACTATTGGAGTTGGGTACCACCACCCAATGGCTGATTGGTCTACAAGCTTGCCTTATAACCAGAAGGTTTTGGCTTCGAATCCCAACCGATGGGTGGGTACTGTCGATGAGTACCAAGCACTAGGATGAAGTCTCACATAAATACTAAAATTAGACACTTTTGAGTTCATGACAATAACTTTTTATTCTGAAAATGCGTTTACACACAATAGAGAATTCCCAGCAGATTTGTTGTGATTGCTAAGTATTTTACCCCTGGTGAGGAATCTTCAAGTGATATAATAAACGATACTAATATATCTATCATCTGCAGCGACATTATTCTTCCCCAAGCACGTACCCTCTCCATTTCTGTTATTCGAATTTCATTACGGATTCAGATCAGTTAGAGAAACATTGAAAACCAGCACTGGAGTACTCGACAGCCAGGTGTTTCCGTTGTCCTAGTGCTTGGGAATCATCGGAAGTACGCACCAACCACACGGGGTTCGAACCCAAGACCTTCCGGTTACAAGACAAGCTCGTATACGATCCAACCACTGAGACCCGATTCAATGGCCGCCAGACCATAAGTTCTAACTTCTACCAATTCGTGATTTTAGCGGGACAACCGCCCAATGCCATCGGCTGGAGGTCCACCCTCACTCCCCACTGGATGGACCTCACTAGACACGAATTCTTACCAGAACTCCAGGAAACTCCTTCCTGTAGCAAGTCACTAGCGAGCATCAGATTAATTTTCAAGAATTGATTTGTAAGGATTACTGTTAGAAAATTCATACTAATAAGTTGAGACTTATTTGTGAAAATGTGTTTGAGTATTACATTAAGATTCTTAGACAACATAATTGTCTTACTTAAAACAGAATGATAAAATGGTGTAAACAGGATGCATTTAGATGGGTAGAAAATTTCGTTAACCTGCTCAGTGGTGTAAGCCGCCGAAATACCACTTAGCCACTTGGGAACAGGGTGATTACGAATGCCATCTAACTCCAAGCAGAAGTTCGCCTCTTTATCACTTCAGTGTGTTGAAGCCTACGATAATCCTTAATCGGAATTCGCTCGGATACATAGTTTTTGCTAATATTTATTTAAGGTAGTCAGTTTCACCACTTCACTTTGATGTATATATACCTCTGCGTGTATTACTCCTGAGATAATCGGTAAACGAAACACCTTATCCTGCATAACGAATAACATGAAGATGTCGGGTTCAATCCTCGGTATGTTAAGTGGAGAAATATCGGTGGACTAATCCATTCTTACATAACAGCTTCTGAAGTATTGGTTTTGTAGGGATTTTGTTTGATTGGATGGAGAATTTCATCATGAGCTGACATCAGTTAAAGAACCACTGGAAAACCATCTGGGAGTACTGGACAGCTGTTTCGTCAGTTTAGTTTGGGACTCTTCATCAGTACGCGCCCACCCGACTGCGGTTCGAAACAAAGACCTTCTGGTTACAAGGACAGCGGGCTCGTAGAACATTAAACCACTGGGACCTGATCCAATGACCAGTCCATGAATTATAACTTCGCAATGTCTTCTTCCATGAGTCACTACCTCATCTTCAACCTGCTGTACCCTACTGGTCACGGCTTCCCACTAGAACCCTAGGTCACAACCTGAATAGGGCTAGTCGCTAGTGAGCATCAGATTAATTTTCAAGTATTGGTTTTGTAGGGATTTCAGCTCTAACTGGGCCATTGGATCGGGTCCCGATGGTTCAATGGTCCACGAGTTCGCCCAGTAAACAGAAGGTCCTTGGTTCGAACTGCAGTCGGTTGGGTGCGTACTGCTGAAAAGTTCCAAACTAAACTGACGAAACAGCTGTCCAGTACTCCCAGATGGTTTTCCAGTGGTTCTCTAACTGATGTCAGCTCATGATGAAATCCTCCATGCAATAACAGCTTCTTTTATTAATCTCATTTTGTCAGGAAATCTCACAATTCCTTCACAGTGGAAGATTAATCTACTTCTCATGTCCGAGTTACACTTATGAGATGAACTTCTTAGGGCTTTGATGAGAACTAATGACAAGTGATTTCGAAGAGTTAGTGGTAAGAGGACATTAGCTCACGGATGACATTGTCTGCCGGTAGCAATATGCATCACTTTATATCAATTACTTTCGGTTATAGACGACAAGTCAAGAAGATCGTAGAAAGCTTGTCATTGCTCTCTAATCACACACAAACAAACACACACGCACGCAGGGGGTGACGTCTTCAATCATTGAGTCGTAAAACCCATTGGAACTCACGCAGGGGAGGGAGTTGTGATGAATCCATAGCTCTTCGTTGCATAACCAGAAAGCCGCAAATAATATTATCAAGCCGTCAACGAGAAAAATATTCTTGGTGCAAATTCCAACAGATGGTAGCACTTTCATTTAGCTGACAGCAACTATTATTAATATATAAAATTTCCATATTGTTCAAGCACACGATGAATGCCTCCAAAGCCTCAGGATGGTCGGGGGTGGGTGCCTTGCGCTGCGGGTTGGCCACCCCTCCGCACACCTCTTCAAATGCTCCCATATGACCGGGCGTCTTACATAGCCTCTCCTGAGGAAGTCCTACTCACTGCCTTCACGTGGCGGAGGTGTTTCTCACCAAAGTGAGAGGGCGAAAGCGGATGCCCGGCGCTCTTCACCGGGTTGACTGTCCATTGGATGACAGTCTAGGGGAGATGGCTAAACCCTGATTCCAAACCTCCAACGACTGGCGTATGAATCTCACTGGAGCTCACCGGCAGACGTATGGACAAAGGGCTTGTTGGATGTCCTGGATGTCTGGCCCCATTCAAAAAGGCGTATGAACCGAACTCCGGTAACCGGCTGCCAATGGATAGTGGACTCCCTACTCCACTCCTACTGCCTTGTAGGTCACACTTGGTTGTGTAAAGGCTAGAGCTGCACTCTCAAAAAAAAGGCCGAGCGATTCTGGGGACATCACTCGTACCAAATTCCCATGAAACTTCATGAACTCTCTTACTCGAGATGTTCATGAAGCCGGCTCATCCTCCCGTAGGAGATAGCCGAAGTAAAGTAAAAGTAAGTACACGATGAATTACTCATCACACAGTGGCAGAATGAAATACAGGCGATCTCGACTGGAAGGACTTTGCGCTAGCCGATAGAGTAATCCCAGAAAAAAGGATAGGGTCGGTTAGAGACGTGAGGCTAACACAATCCAAATCAGTAATAAAAACAACCCCATCACCGCTAGTGTGAAACTCCGAACGACACAGAGGAATCAAAACACTCAACAGCGTCAGAAATAGCTGAGATTAGCGATTATAAGTCTTATCTGTAAAACACCTGAGCACATGTACTACTCACACACACACACACCCAATTAACTAACCAGACATGCAAGAAAAAACCTGCTTTCCAACAATAGCATCGTTTTCTAATCGTTACCTTAAAGTGTTGATATTTGAATAATAAGAGTAAACACTGATAACCTTGGCAACCAAAGCCATCTTCAAAACAAACAAACAAATAAAGAGAAACGGCGCATAATATGGTTAACAAACAATAGCATAGATTAACAAACTTACCAGGTACAAGTTTAGCAAATTGTACAACTTGTTGAGCATGCATATGAAAGTGATTCATCATATGACCCCATACTTGATTAATATTATCTTGATGCTCCGGTGGTATTGACGTCATACGAAAACGTGTTTTAAAATACTTTTTTGTTTTATACGGGGTGAATATGATAGATAGGAGAGGCAGAAGCAGAAGCAGAGAAGGAGATAGAAAAGGCAAAACAAAGATTTATGTGAGGAACAATACATCACAGGATATATATATGTATGTAAATATTCGATTTAAATTTTTTCCGTATGCATAAGAAGAACAAATATACAGAGAATAAATATGCTTCATATCAGATAACAATAATCAATAGTTATATAATTGAATTTTAGATTTTCCCTCTCGATTGATTGGACCGAAGTGCTCAGTCTCAGGTTGACATGTTTGTCGACTTCTTGTGCAGATGCTTCGACGATATCTGGGCATGTAATTAGAATTGAATTGGTGGATGGTGACTAGCAGTGGAATCCAGCCAGGATGTGCATGTCGTCCTGTTTGGGACTCTTCAGCTAGTGGATGTACCTGCATTCCGTTGCACAAAAGGTGGTTCTCGTGGCCCAAGTGGTCTAGTTGGTAACGCTTTGGCGTTTGTAACTATGGGCACTGGGTTCCAACCTCGGTCAGAACATCATCACTGACTGGGTAATGCAGGTACATCTGCTGGCTGACATGTCCCAAATAGGACGAATTGAGCATCCTGGATTCCACTGCTATTCAGCATCCACCAATTAACCTCCAATAATCAATAGTTACTTGACTGTTGTAGTTAATGTCCGCGATAGTGGTTAATAGTGGAACCTAGGAGGCTTGATTTGTCCGATATTTGACAGTCGTCATCTGGACGTACCCAAACATCAACCACCTACCCACCCATTCCCAATGAGTGATGTCAGAATGTATACAAAATAAATTCAAAATAAAACTAACGCATTATCAAAACGAACTTAAGCATTGGTTTGCATGGATTTGCTTTGATTGGTTACAGGATTTCATCATGAGCTGACATCGGTTAGAGAGCTATTGAAAGCCAGCTGGGGACGGAGTACTGGACAGTTATTTCAGCAGTACACACCCACCGATTGGGGTTCGAACTCAAGATCTTCAGGTTATAAAAGGCGAGTTATATATATAGGCTTCTGAGCGTCTTGAGCAGTAATCTTAGTATGCTTAGTGTGCGATTCATCTCTACCAAATGTAAGATGATGTTGCTGCTGGACAGGCCTGCACTACACTACTACACCACTACACTTACATGAGAAGTTGCATTAATTTTAGTGGACAGATTCCTGACAAAATCTCAGCACAGATACAAAAGGTAAGTGTGGCATTCGTCAACTCTGGTGTGGGGGGCGTTATAACCAGCTATTAGACAAAAAATCATTTTATAGCACAGCAATTCTCAATGTACTGCTTGAGAACTGTAATAAAGTAGAAGATATGAAAATCTTGCCTGTCTTTAACCAGAGAGATGTTTGCGTTCACAGTCTGAAGTTAGGCGTAGAGTGTAACACGTAAGGAGGGGATGTGTCAACCAATGGTGTTGTGAAGTTATATTTGATTGGAAATGGCTAGAGCGCGCAGTGTGTGTTGCGCATTCCCAACCATCGTCTTCCTTAAAGAAAAAAACAATGTTAGATGACGTAAGATTAAGTTGGGAAAGGCATAGAATGGGTAGTCAAGTCAAAACTTGAAATCAGTCCATGCAGTTTTACTGTTTGTTCCAGTCATGTAGGAAGGACTGCAGACTGGCTCATAATCGTTATGAATGGTGCGTGTGCGTGTGACCTGGCATGCTTCACTCTCCTGCAGAGTTTACTTCCCCCTTCAAGTCTCCTATCTATCTGTCTATCTATTTACACATTGTGTTTTCGCAAATTTTATAGCACCACTTTCATCAGTGATGATTTTATGCCCATTTGATCAGCATTAAACTTTACAATCAATAATTCTACGGAAACACACTAACACACAAAACAAACAACACTGGAACTTTTGTATTCCATGCATGCGTACACACTCATATACACACACACACGCAAACACACTTATACGTAAAGCAATAAGGTCCTATTGTGCAGATCAACTATGCAAAACGTTGATCAAGGTAAAGTTTACATTATTAATCGATTAAATTGTTGAATTTACACGGGAGAGAGGGGAAAACGGGGTTTTTCACAAAGTTCCCGATGGAGCATAGAGCTATTGATATATTACTACCTGGCTACCTAAACCTCCGAAGGTGAAGGAGCGGCAGTGGAATCAGTGACCAGTGACCTGTTGGAAGTCAAGTGAATAAACACATCGGGCACATGTCTGTTCCACTCAATTCTCTGTCAGTACTTTTATTTTCAGCCATCTTTACAACTGACCATTAACTTTCATTTACTCCTGGTCACTCTTGGTCACCATATCATCCATGCACAATTCGCCACTACCTATTTCGGGTTCCACTCGACGACCCGTTTAAGGTGTAATGTCACATGAAGTTTTCCTCAACGAGCCATTCAAAGATGACATAAAAGAAGTGGTCAAAACAGGACTCGATAAAGCAAACCTTGTCTTCCTTAACACCATCAAGCACTTGCTTCAACAATCTGCACAAAACTAGTTGCCAGTCCTCGACACTTCAAACTGCCGCGTATATCAATTTGAGTGTTTGTGTTAGCAAACACAAAGGTAGTACAAAAAGGCGACTGTCTACTCTGATTGGGTGGAGCATTTGCCAAAGTGCCCAAAAAGTTCACTAACAAAGTAATCTTCTGGACTCCAGACATGATGTTGACGTCATGTCAAGTCATTTACTGTTGTCAGCGAGCAGATAAACAAACCTGAAGATGTTTGCAAGTGAGGAAGAGGTTTGTGCAAATACAAGTTTATAAACCCGGTCTCTGGGTACAGAACGAAATGATGGTAATATATGTTTTATTTATTAACTGTTACTATTAGTATTAATAGTAATATTTTATTTCACCTCTAATGATTACTATTTCTGATTCATTTAAAACGACCATTAATCATTCCTATTATCTTGACTCGTTTTAACCCTACTACTACTACTCTCTCTCTCTGGCGATGTTTGGCTGAGAAAGGAATGCCGAGAAAATATACTGCACTGATCAATGCACTCTACTCGAACTCATGCGGCCAGGTGAGAGCTTACGGCAAGTTATCATCTGAAGTGATGACAACTAGAGGTGTCCGTCAGGGATTCACTTTCACTGCTCACCTAACTCTTTAACACTGCTATCGATGGTATTCTGGAGTCAACTCTGAAGGGTGCGTGATGGTGGTGTAGATCTGCTTTCTAGTGAAAGACGTTTTGGATCTCGAGTATGCAGACGATATTGTCTTACTGTACGATAGCGCATGCAGGCTGTCCAAATTGCACTCAATCAGTTGGCGATCAGTGTCTGTTTGTATGTTATGTACTTTCTGCTAAGTGAAAAGTACTGTACTGTTGCAAGATTGGTTGGCCGGAGTCTGTACATGAACTCACTCTTGCCAGTGAACCGCTTCAAGTGGTCGATAAGTTTGTGTATCTGGGTGGGTAGTTGTGAGTACCGCGGGGGGTGTAACAGACAATATTTCTGAACGTATCACGAAAGCTAGGGCGGCACACGTTGATTTGAGCCACCTTTGACACCATCGCGACGTTAGCCTGGCTGTTAAACGTAGGGTGAACAATGCTTTGGTGCGCACAGTCTTGCTCTACTCGTATGAAACCTGACGTTTTCACGGTGAGGACGTGCTGCGACTCTGAGTATTCGACTATCGCTGTCTCCGTGAAATTGTTCGCGTTCGATGTCATTATTGTGAAGTGCTATTCACTAGACGGATCAGAGACTTGGTGGTGTGCTGTGTCACCAAGGCTACTTTGAACAAACTACTCACCTTCATCAACAGCTGTCTTCACTCAATACTACTCAAGATCAGATGGCCGGCTAGAAAAGATCACCAATAGGAAGGGATCTCTGGGAGTAAACCGACCCATCAGGAACCAATTGTGCAAGAAATATGCAGCAAGAAATGGAGGTGGATTGGCCATACTCTGAAAAAACAAACCATCAAGTGAGTGACATCACACGCCAGGCCATCGCTCAAGTGGAACCCGAATGGGAAGCGGCGAGTTGGTCGTCAGTTCGAGGGTGACATGGAGGAAAAGGTCATGTGAAGAGGAGATGAAAGCGTATGGGTAGACATGGAGCCAAGTGAAGAATCTAGGAGAGAACCGAACGCAATGGAGACGTTTGGCTGAAGCCCTATGTCCCTCTAGCAATTAAAGGAAACAATAATAATAATATAATACTGTCTTCTCTTGTTTGTATGGTATATGGAGAGAGTGGCAAGTTGAACTGTTGCACATCTGTGCAACGTTCTGTATGTTGAAACCAGTCAGTCAGTTAGTCAGTCGGTCAGTCACTCTTTCCCAATCCAATCCACATATATTTTATTTAACATTGCTCGACGTGGAAGACGACAGCTTGGCAAGACTCAAATCATCAGCTTTGTGTCAAAAATTCGAATTCTACCACCACGTTGACTACACACACGCGAACACACACACACTCAAAAGAAATAAAGAGCCACACAAACAAACAAGTAAACAAACAAAAACATAATTCAAATAATTCACTTACTGCATTAGGCAATCTTAAGAATTCTGTTGCTGTACGCATCCCGTCAGTGAATTGTAAAACAGCTTCAGGTGTTGGATTAATCGGTGGTAGGATTTCATCAGTATCATCCCAAAAGGATGGATCATCAAAGCTTATAAACTGATGACTATTAGTTGTTATATTTTCATTAGATACAGTGACAACTACTGGTCTAGTTGTAGTGTCAGAAGTAGTAAGAGCAGTCGTAGCGGTGGTCGAGGCAGTAGTTGTAGTAGTCGTAGTACTAGGAGAAGTTGTACTTGTCGTCGATGTCATTGAAGCATATCCACCCGAAGAGACTGTCGTTCTAGAAGCAGCCGATTCACTCGATGATTTACACAAATCCACCTGAGGTAAAGTTGAAGAAGAGGAGACTGGTGAGAAAATAGAAACGGCAGAAGAAGTAGAAGAAGAGGATCGCTGAGAGACTGACGAAGAAGAAGAATTATGATGAAGAGGATGATTGACACCGGATTTAGGAGATTGATGGTGTTGTTGCTGTTGCTGTTGTGATGTTGGTTGTGTTTGCTGTGATGGTTGTTGTTGTTGTTGTTCCTGAGAATAAGAGAAAATTTTATCATCAAGTAAACGTGATGTACAAAAGGCATTAGATGATTCTGACATAGATGACGACTGTTGTTGTTCTTGTTGTTGCTGTTGTTCTTGGTGGTGGTGGTGTTGTTGTTGATGGTGTGGAATTGATTTTATCATTTCATAACCTGAGTTTCGATCACCACTATTATGATTACCATTGTTATTATTGTTATTATTAATATTATTCCCTATTGTAGAGTCATTAATACGATTCAATGCATGCCATTCTAAAGCATCATAGATACCAGAACGTCCACCATTTGAATAATGTCGAATCAGTTGAGAAGAATCATTCATCAATGATGATGGTCTCTGAAAATGGAACAAATAAAGGTACGTATTTATTACTTTGTATCACTAATAATAATAATAATAATAATAATAATAATAATAATAATCACATTATTCCACACAAAAAACTTGGAGGATCTGGACTTCATCGATGATATATGTCTGATTTCCCACAAACTGTTGCAAGGGAAAAGCAACAAGTTGGCAGAAGAAGCATCAAAGATAGGACTTCAGGTGAACATGGATAAAAAAGAGGTGATGAAGATTCCTGGGCAACACCACAAACAGCAACAACAACAACAACAGACAACAATCAGCATAAATGGAAGGAACCAGAAAGAAACAACCTCCTCTACCACCTACCTGGGAAGCATCGTTTCAACTACAGGCGAACGGAACTGACGAGGATATCAAAGCAAGAATCGGAAAAGCAAGACAAGCTTTCACTACTCTCAAGTCTATGTGGAGGTCAACAGCACTCAGCATCAAAAATAAGATCCGGATTTTCAACTCCAATGTGAAGTCAGTGCTACTTACAATACGGATCAGAGACTTGGTGGTGCGCCGCGTCACGAAAGGTACTTCGATCATACTACAGACCTTCATCAACAGCTACCTTCGCTCAATACTACTCAGGATAAGATGGCCAGCCAGAAAAGATCAGCAACAGAGATCTCTGGCAATGAGCGAACCAACCAGGAACCGATTGTGAAACAAATAGGGAGGAACAAATGGAGATGGACTGGCCATACTTTGAGGAGACCATCAAGTGACATCACTAGACAAGCCATCGCTCGAGTGGAACCCGAAAGGGAAGCGGTGGCGAGTTGGTCGTCAGTGTGACTGTAGGGTGACTTGGAGGAGGTCATGTGAAGAGATGAAAACGTGTGGGCAGACTTGGAGCCAGGTGAGTACTCTAGCAGAGAACCGAACGCAATGGAGACGCACGGCTGAAGCCCTATGTTCCTCTAGGAATTAAAGGAAACAATCATAATAATTATTATTATTCTGAACAATAGTCATTATATACATTACAACAACTTAACACCTAAGTATAGATTTCATAAGCCCTCACCCCGGCCACCTGCATTACTCAGAACTTCAACGCCGCCCATTGTGAATTCTGCTTCATAATGACAGAAAGAGGCAACATTGAAGGATATACTCAACTATGATTACACCCTAAACCCTATAACCCGGGTGGGTGCGTACGGATGAAGAGTTCCGAGCGGTAGGATGACGGAAACAGCTGTCCAGTACTTCAGTGTTGGTTTTCCAGTTCATGATGAAATTCTGTGATCAAGCATTGAAATCCCTACAAACCAATACTTGAGTATCAATGGCGTGCTCACTAGAAACTGGCCATATTCAAGTAGGTAGCTAACTGGGGTAGGGTAAAGCAGGTCGAACTTGAGGATAAATACTCTCCTAAGACAGTGGCTAGTCACCGCACTATGTTATGAATTGACAGAATTTGGAATTCATGAACTGGCCATTGGATGGAGTCACAGTTGCTTGATGGTCAACGAGCTCTCTGGTCTTGTAACCGGAAGGTTCAGGGTTCAAATTCTAGTGGATGCGTACTGCAGAAGAGTCTCAAACTAGGCTGACGAAACAGCTGTGCAGTAAGTACTCCCAGGTTTTCCAATATTACTCTAACCGATGTCAGCTCATGATGAAATCCTGTAGAAAATCATATCAAATCCCTGAAAACGAATGCTTGAATATATAGAATAATCCATAGGATGTGTAGATGTTGGAAGGGGGTGTGAAATTATAGGATTATTAGGCAATTAGAATAAACATAAAAACGTTGCGTAACACTGTATGAAATTCGATAACATAGAATTTAACGTTCCAAAACAAAGTCGATTTAGAATGTCAAGTGGGATGAGTGAAATAATACCCGGGGACAATTCAAAGTGAGAATATTAATAGTAACAATTGACGTCATAAAGGACGAGTATACGAAATGAATAGATAAAACGAAACGAAAATTAATTGGAGTCAAAATATGATTAAGGATTATCATACTTTAGCATAGAGGGACTAAGACCATGAAAGTTGGGGTGGGGGTGTGTGAATGGACATTTTCTGTATACAGAGATCTGCCTACTCTGTTTCGACAGTCAACGCTTCAGCAATACAGATGAGTTGCATACGTAATGATTTGGGCAAATTACTTTTCACCTTGTAGATGACTTTAAAGGCTTGGGCTGTAGAGATAGGGTGATCATTATCAACCAGATGTTCAATGATTGTGCTTCTTATAACTCCACTTCCGCCTCTTCGTAACTATGCAGGATAGTGTTCTCGCGCCCTCTTGGACAAAAGTCAGGTCGAACGACCGATAACACAATGCAAACAAGTAATATCACGTCATATATCATAATAAAGTCTCCAGTCTCATTATTCGCTTAACCAAAACGCTTCTCACAATGTGAAGTAATAAAAAATTTAGTTATCATTATAAATCCAAAAGATTGTCATATCAAGACAGCACACACACACTCCAAAGACAATTTAGAGATGACTGTGAGATTATGTCAGCCAGAATGAATCGATCTAAACACTGGGTGATTACATTAAGAGTAGAACTCATACATCATTAGTGCATTCAACTCAGTGAGCTAATTAAGTTCAAACCACTCGAAGTCCATTAGGACAAAAAGCGGGTGTCAGATCCCACTGCTAGTCACCATCGAACATATAAGAATAAATGAATTGAAAGAGAATTTTAAGGTTTTGAATAATGAGTTCTTTTTTATGGTTAATGACATTGTGGTATATACTACTGACAAGATTTTTCAGTAGTATACAGAAGCAGACCAATAGGGGAAGTAGTCGAAATTGAAGACAACATTTTAAGACGAAGACGATAGGAGTAGAAGTTCGAATATTGGTTCGCAGGGATTTTATTACCAGCTGACATAAATCAAAGAACCATTGGAAAACCACCTGGGGGTGGGTGGGAGTACTGCACAGCTGTTTCGACCCAGTCCTCGGGATTCTTCATCAGTACGAACCCACCAATTGAACTTTTTATTTATTATTTTTTATTTTGATTACAGCTTGATTCCACACAGTATTTTCAATACAAGTATGGAATTTTCAGCATGGATATCGGTAGCCCAAATTTACAGGCCGACCATAGATATCGGTTGTGCGCCAGCAGAGGATCGAACCCCGGACCATGTGCATGGTCGGCGAGAGTCCTAACCACTGTGCCACCGACGCACAACTTTGAACCAAGAACCTTCCGGTTACAAGGTGAGATCGTAGATGAAAACAATTATCCAGTATTCCCAGCTATTTATTCGTCAAATTCAAATTTAGCTTACGTTGTGGTCATGAAATAATCTCATTGGACAACTAACTAACTTCTCGTCTCAATGTTTAACCTTCAGAAAATCAACAACCAATCAGAATAGTTTACTATCCACAGTAAAATATAATACCAATGAGAAGGAGGAGGAAAATGTTGATTTTTTTTCAAAAAAACTCACCATTTGTATATTCTTAAATAATAATTGTGATTTTAAACTGTTTGATAAACGATACGAATTAATCGATGCTTCATCGAGAATAGATTCATCCAATTTCATTGAGTGTGCTGCAGATGTAGCAGTCAAGGAATCCTCACAATCATTATTATTACTATTATTATTAACAAGTGTATAACAGCTCGGTGATAGCTGTGTAGTACATTTGACAATATCTTCACTATTATGATCTAACAATAATCGATTATGATTGTTCATTAAACCAGGCATAGATGAAGCAGCTGAGGAAGCTGCAATGGCTGCTGCGGCTGCTGCCGCGGATGACGACGTCGATGATGAGGATTGAGGCAGAAAGAATAATAAGGACAATGGTGGCGCTTGAGACGCTTGACTCAACTTTCCACAATCATTAGATGATGATGATGACAATAATAATGCCTCGTGTTTCAAAGATGCCGATGAGGTATTCGTCGGAGTCATTGTATCTGGACTATACTTAGGACTACAGCAGTTATTCTCATCACTTTGACTAAGATGACGAAAATGATTTGTTGAATTATTATTATTATTATTTAACAGGATATCAGAACTACTGACAACACCACCGGGACCACCGCTGCCTCCACTACCTACAGTCACATACTGATGACCACCACCACCACCACTACCAACAGCGCCACCACCAGCCCCACTACTGTAGACAACACATGATGAAGAACTTTGTCCAGGTGATAAAGCATCCATTGAAGTTGATGAAGAAGAATTGCCTCTTATGGCTTGTAATTGACGAATTTCAATGGCACAATGAAATTTCACTGCATTCGGTTGACGACCAATTCGACTGCCTAAATTAATTAATTAAAAAATGGGAAAAAATGATGATACCCCAACAGTTTAGAAAAAACAAAAGTGGATATCTGCGTAATTTATCTAATATTATATTATTATTAATATGGTGTCTATTGAGTTCTGAGTGAAACACAGGCTTCAAACAGTACACGTGAAATGAAACAGATAGAAGAGGCGTTGGTTTTAAATAACTATCCTTTAAAATTCACTAGGAAGATAGCAAAAGGCCAAAAGAAAAAGAAAAATAATTGTGAAATTAGTAATAACAACATAAATAAGAGAGAATATAAGTCACCCACTGTTATACCATATAAGGAGGGGACATCTGAGACCCTACGTAGGGTTCTAAATAAAGCAGGAATTAGAGTGGCATTTAAACCTACAAACTCACTCAGGGACAAGCTCTGTAGGTTAAAGGAACCTGTTGGTTGACCCAATTAAACAAAATAATATAATTTACAAAATACCCTGCAATGACTGCATAGGTCAAAGTAGTAGGTCAGGGGTAGTCAGATTGTCAGAACATAAGAATTTAGTGGCTAAGGTAAGAATGGCTGACTCCGAGAAGATAAGTAATTTAGAAAAAAGCTCAGCAATTGCACTGCATGCATTAACACACAACCACACAATCGGATGGGTGGGAGAGGGTTAAAATTCTAAAAAGTAATCTAGGTAGGTGGGTGGAGAGAGAGGTTGATTACTGAATCCTGCCTGGTTCATCGAGTCTACACCCAGCACATGCAATTGGAATGATTCATCACTCATACCCGAAATATGCAAAATATTACTACCAATCAAATCAAGTGAAAAACAATGGAACTATATAAATGAATTTAGGAAGTCGTGTGATTACCTTGATATGATTATAAGCAATAAATTGTGCTCGAAACGTGGTCATCAGTAAACATTACTGTATAACACTGTGAGACTTTATCAAAACAAAATTTACCCATAATGGGATTACACTCTACCACAGTGCACAAGTTTTATTTTTATAACACCTGTATTTCATTTAATTTTCTTCAGTTTACTTTCGCCAGCTGCAGCACAATTGCTCACAATCTTAAATTTACCACGCATGTGATCCTTTTTCATGTCACTCTCTTGGACACTCGACTCGTTGTGTTTTCCACACACACGAGTTGCAATCAAGGGTCTGGTGTATGTGTGACATTACTTGGAGGTTGCCTCAGAGCATACGTTCAACCTATCTCTGATTCCTTCTGTTTATTTATTGGGTGGCGGTTCTTTGGTTAGTTCGTTGATGCTTGGTTATATTTTCTGTTAAGCAATCCAATCTTCAGTATCGAGCCAGTAGTCTGTTGGAAATACTATAGGTGACTTGTCATTAGTGTTGAAAACTTACACCTTGTTCCTTATACTGAGTGCGGTACATCTCTACACTCGCATTTCAGAATAATGAACTCATCCTCTGTCTCATTTTTCCGATTCTGATTGGCTTTCACAACTTCCTCCATACCACATGTAGTCGAAACGACTGTCTGTCTGCCTGTTTTCGACAGAGAACTTTGCACTGATGTGCAGCAGTTCAAGTCACCACACTCCCTCATTGTAGCACACAAAGCAAGAGAAGGTAGAAGAAATGCAAAATAGAGACAGTAAACAGAGATATGAGGCGAGAAGAATAGTAATATCGAAGAAAAATACAGTTTCATTGGAAATTATAAGTTACAAGGAGTGGATGCATCTTCGCCAACCATTGAGAACGATTTTCAGCTATATCGCCAATTGTCTACAGCCTTCACTGCTGTTTACCGTCCCGAGGACCGAAACCAGTCAGGAAGTCTACACCTCCCTACGTGACTGGCTGGCTGGCTTAAACTAACTGTTGTGGATTCCATTGACTTATGAAACCATGTTGGTTTTGGCTTGACACCGCTAGCTTTTTTCCAACGTGACCCATCGTAAGTCAGCTGAAATTCCCCGTTAGTTGAGAAAGGCGATGACTAGGCATGCATATGTAACACATGTCCTAACCATCTCACATAATCGATGTAGCTTCACAGTCTCGTCTATTGACTCCCCTTCCCTCCTTACCTACCACTCGACCGGAGCCTAACCTCAGTATTGCTCACCCTATTATACCATTTTACAGGGGATAGAGAACGCAGGCGCCTATGATCAAAGGCAGCTAGCCAGGCAGGCTTTTCATGTTTTCCACTCTCAATGGCCAGGTTTCGCTCACAGTCATAAAGGAGGACAGGGTGAACTGCTGCTATGCGGTACACACGTCCTTTGGTCGATAGCCAGTTGGATATCACGTCTACTAAGCCAGAGACAGCGTAAACTGGCATACGCGAAACTAGCCTTCCGTATCCGTGCTGCGATCTTGTCAGCGATCAACTCGTCGGCGCTGGCTGATGCAACTTCCTAAATAAGTGAAGTGGTCAACACACTCCACAAACCACTTCACTCACTATTTCTAAGCTAGGAGTCAGTGTAGTCCAGTCCTGTAACATCAGACTGAATTACTCCTCTAAGCTATCAGCTACTAACCACTAAGGTCATGGATTGGAATCCCACTCCACCTACCAAGATTTGAACTGTCAAGTAATAGCTCATTGTCACTGCTGCATAGAAAGAAATACAAGTCGACATGGGAATAAAATTCTCACACAGTATGTCTATCAAGCTGTGAAGTTAATAATGATACGGGAACACTAAGAAGACTGATTTTGTTGAATAACCTTAACTAATACAAGCGTATCAAGCTTTGATTTGCAGGCTTTTGAATTTATGGGTCTTTGGATTGGCTCCAAAATGGCCGAATGGTCTATAAGCTCCCCTATTAACTGGAAGTCCCTAGGTTTGAGCCCTTCTGGGTGCGTACTATCCGGAGGAGATCCTAACTAGGACGAAACAGCTGTCCAGTACTCCCTAGTGGTTCAAATCCGTAGCTTCCGAATCATCAGCTGACATGCAAACTTTGGGTTGGGTTGAGTTAGGTAGAAGTCAGATGAAAGATCATCGGGTTAGTGATGATTCAGAGGCTTTTGATTCCACCTCACTTTCAATCAGTACCCACACTATCTTAAAAAGTTCCCACATGAATGAAAGTTAAAGGGTTGGAGGCAATCAGCGGGTTGATAATGGATAACTCACGTAGATTAACTGAAAGGTATTATTGAATATATACGCAGAGATATTGATCACAAGAAGAAGATATAAAAACGCACACACCATCATTGTAGAGCTGTCGCTCATTGGTCCAGGTATTCGACTTGTTAATAATCATTGGGTAGCAAGTTTGAAACCTACTCCATAATCTATAATAAAAGTTTGGATATAATTGGTGGATGGTGACTAGCAGTGGAATCTAGGATGCGCATTTCATCCTATTTGGGACTCGTCAGCCGATGGATGTACCTGCATTCCTCAGTGAAGTAAGGTAATATCAGTCACTCACTCACTACCTCACTACCTCTTACACACACAATGAACGTCGTTCACTGCCTACTGTACACAGAATTGCATGCAAGTGATTTTTGAATAACATTCATCTGTTCAAGCATACACCTTCATAGAGAGACAAATAAACAAATATTCAAAGACAGCATGATCATGGGGAACAGTAGGGAAATCAATACACCCTGCAGGTTTGTTGGAAGGGGAGAGGAAATAGAACAACTCCCAGCTGGTTTTCCAATGGTTCTCTAACTGATATCAGCTCATGATGAAGTCTTTCAACGCATCAAACTAAAAATCCCTACAAAAACCAATACTTGAAAATTCATCTGATGCTCACTAGTGACTGGCCCTATTTCGGCAGTGACCTGGAGTTCTACTGGGAAGCCGTGACCAGTAGGGTGCAGCAGGTTGAAGGTGGGGCAATAACTCATTAAAGAAGACATTGCGAAGTGGTCACGCTGTCTTGAATTGTCAGAAGTTAGAATTCATGAGAAGGCCATTGGACCGGGTTGGGTCCCGGTGCCTGAATGGTCTTCGAGCTCGCTGAAGACTGTCAGTAGGATGAGTGGTGTCCCAGTGGACCACATAGTTAACGTCGTTGTCGATAGGCACTTGACTTCGCGCAGTAAATTTGCCAAAGGGATTTTGTCCGACTTGGAGCATCCACTTCACCCTCAGCTTTCACCTTGCATCTCCTCAGGTAGAACAAGAAGAAACTTCAGAAAACTGTATGCTCGCACGTCTAAGTAGAAAAATTCTATGATACCATAATTGGCACATACTTTATGTGATGAAAATAGTGTCAGGCAATAATTAACTAACTTTTTTCTCATCTAGTAAATAAACAATTTCCTCCATCCATCCTTATATACCTTCAAGTTTTACTTTTATTATTTCGATTACATTTATGGTCCTGTTGCTTCTTTGTTTTACCCTCATAATTGCAAGCACCAACTTATCTCTATGACTGCTGTAATCATTGTTTTTCCCCTCAACATATCACGTAAAGAGAACATTATATTCAATATTTTTAAACATGCTAGGATTTCTATACCGCATCGACAATACTGTGTGAAACAAGCCCACGGAAATTTTCCCTGGTATTATTATTATTACCTTAGCTGTCATCATAATTATTATTTCCATTTTATATGCTGCATGGTTTTGAAATTACCCCTATTGTAAATGTGTAAAATTTTCTGTGCGACTAATTTTTATTTATAATTAGAGGAAATTAGATGCAAGATATTGTGATTAATGCTGAAAATTCCATTCTGTATCACATGTACTGTTTTTGGAATAAAGTAAATCGCTATTTTCTTTATCGATGAAGTCATCTTCAGAGGCTGTGCAATCGTATTTATACTTACAGAAATATATAGTGGTCTATTATTGAGTAATAGGGGGTGACATAATTGATATAATTACTCGGAAGGGGCTTCAGAAGTGAAAATTAAAAGTTGAAAATTACGTGGTACTCAACAGCAAAAAGATAGAAATTTGATAAGGTTAAAATTGCTATTAAGTGAGAATAAAGGTATTTGAGTGTCAATTTAACAAGTGTGAAGAGGGTGTGAAAATATACAAAAGGAGCATATGAGAGTGATAATAGCGAATTAATTATTGAAGCAAAAGCTAACTAAAAGTGAAAGTAGAATGAAAAGAAAAAATCAAAAAATTATTTCATTTACAAGGAACGATTAGTGAAGAGGTTAAGACCAAGGTAGAATAAGAGACTGGACAAACTTTTTCTGTATACAGAGTTCAGGGTTGTATTGATGAATTGCCAGAGCCTCCGCCATACACAAAAGCCGAAACCTGACGCCCTTTGTACCATTTGGCTTCACTTTGTAGATGATCTTGAAAGACGATTCTGGTGGAGCTACGTGGCCTGAGTTAGCAAAGGGACAATGTAAGACAATTACTAGCTCAATTCTCGAGCATTTGGTGAACTCAGGCCACGTAGCTCCACCAGAATCGTCTTTCAAGATCATCTACAAAGTGAAGCCAAATGGTACAAAGGGCGTCAGGTTTCGGCTTTTGTGTATGGCGGAGGCTCTGGCAATTCATCAATACAACCCTGAACTCTGTATACAGAAAAAGTTTGTCCAGTCTCTTATTCTACCTTGGTCTTAACCTCTTCACTAATCGTTCCTTGTAAATGAAATAATTTTTTGATTTTTTCTTTTCATTCTACTTTCACTTTTAGTTAGCTTTTGCTTCAATAATTAATTCGCTATTATCACTCTCATATGCTCCTTTTGTATATTTTCACACCCTCTTCACACTTGTTAAATTGACACTCAAATACCTTTATTCTCACTTAATAGCAATTTTAACCTTATCAAATTTCTATCTTTTTGCTGTTGAGTACCACGTAATTTTCAACTTTTAATTTTCACTTCTGAAGCCCCTTCCGAGTAATTATATCAATTAAATCGTTATTATGATTGTAACCAGAAGGTCCTGAGTTCGAACCTCAATGGGTGTGTGCCTACTGCTGAAGAAACTCGAGCACTAGAACAACGGAAACAGTTAGCTGTCCAGTACTCCCAGCTGGTTTTCTCAATGATTCTCTAACTGATGTCAGCCCATGATGAAATCCTCAAAACAATGAAACTAAATCCCCACAGAAAAAGCCAATAAATTCTTGAACAATAAATAACAAGCTCACATAATACGCATGTAATTATACAATCGATATACCAATAAGAAATTACAAACGATAATAACAATCGGTGTTCGATAGGGTGTAGGCATACAGAATGTTTGTATGCGTGTGTGCATCGATTTTTATTTGAAGGATGCATGTACACGCATTGTTGATGGGTATATCAACCACACACCCATAAACACACACAAAAACATACACACATACACACAGACATTGTACACAACACAAAAAAGTGATCGCGCACTAGGTCAAGGCCGACACTGTCGAGTTTGTGAAAAATTCAATGAATAATAATAGTAATAGTAATCGCAGTAAGAAACAATACTGATAATAGTAATAATAACAATAATAGCAACAGTGTAATAATATATGGCATAATTTTAACAACCAATAAGCATCGCTAGACACAAAAATGTTTACAACGCTTCACTGGACAATTCAAGGTTATATTATATGATTTACGGTGATTGATCGAAGAAAATAACAACAAAACAACACAGTGGGATAGTAATAAAAACGGCATAACAACAAGTAGATATACAAACCATGCATATTACAATGTATTCATTCAGTAATTCAGTTTGGAATTTCCCCTAGGCTCGGCTTCAGATTTACACGTCGCCTCCATTGTGAGCATGACGCTTCGATGATATCTAAGGTTTAGTCTGGTGTAATTTAGTGAATGATGGATGAGCAAAAGTGAAATCCGAGACACTGAGTATTTCGTCCCATTTGGGACTCGTCAACCAGTGGATGTATCTGCATTCCTCTCAGTGACTGAGTCACTGATGGTGTGTTCCCATTGAGGCTGAGACCCAGGACTCATCGTTTCGACAGAGGTGGATACTTTGTCCAAGTTAATCAAATGGAAATTCCTAACTGAATTGAATAACACCTGATATCCGTTGCACAAGAGGTGAATGGCTCTCAAGGCTGAAGTGGTTGAGGGGATAACACAGCAAAGGTAGTTAGGCAGATGAAAGACGACCGATTGCAGACTTTAAAAACACACCAACGTATATGCTGTCAAGATTTCTCTCAGCAATACTAAGATCGACAAGAGACAACGCAAAAGGCAGAATAGTATATTCATTTGGATTAGTGAGACGACTAAAAAACACTTAAGTAGACGAAGAGGAAATACTAGTCAGCTTTGATGTGAAAACAGTCTCTATACTAAAATACCCATTCAAATGACCATGAATGCACTGAAAACGAGATTAAAAGAAGATAATGGCCTAAAAGACAGAACACAGTTATCCGTAGAAGAGATGACGATAAACGGGGTGGGATTCTGTCTGACAAAAACATAATTTACATTTGAAGGAAAAATATACCAACAAAATGAAGGAGGAGTAGCCATGGGATCGCCAATAATAGCTGACATATTCATTGATTTTTGGGGAGAGAATGCACTCAGACCATTCAGATCATCAATAAAATGTTGGTGGAGATATGTACACGACACGTTAGTAATGATGAAAAAAATACAATGTTGCGAAATTCTTCACACACACATAAACAGTCATGTCAACTCAATAAAATTCACTATGGAAATAGAGAATGAAATTGGGGAACTTCCTGTGTTAGACTGCAAAATATAAAGAGTAACAGATAGTAGCATAAAGACGACGCTATGTAGAAAAAACTACACACACCGGAAGATTCCTTGATTATCACTCAGCTCATCCACTCACGGTAAAACGAGGAGGATTAATACAGGTCTTGCAGATAGAATACGTAGACAAACAACAACACCAGAGGACCAGCGTAAAAAAAATGAACGTCTTATTCGAAATATTACACGACAACAACTACCCTAAAGAATTTATCAAAGGTAATATATAAAGGAGAAAAAAGAGGGTAAAACCAGTGAGCGTCCAATTCACCACCAGGGATAGAACCTAAGACCTTCAGGTTACGAGACTGAGCCCTATTCATCACTGATTCTTCTAAATGATATTGGTGTTTTGTGACGAATTTTAAAAATTTAAATAAACAGTATGTATATATAAAGAATGTTTCAATGATAAAATAGTCAGAGTGAGCGAGAGATAAAGAGAGAGAGAGAGACTACATATTTACCTTTCTTAGACATTCCAGCAGTTAAACATCGACGAAAACGACAACTTTTACAGGCATTTCGACTTCGTGGAGTTATTGTACACGCGTTCTGTCCACCAACACAGACTAACGAGTTAGCTGAGCCTTCAGTACGACGAAAGAAACCCTAAAATTAAAAAAATACACAAAATGTAATTAGCTGTCAGTCTGTATTCACTTAAAGAAAAGGAATAAAAAGACACAAAGGTTAGTGATAGCTAGCAGCAGTGGAATGCAGGAGGACGCGTTTCATCCCACTGAGAACTTGTCAGCACAATGTAATTGTATCACTGGTGTGTGATGATGTTCACACTAAGACTCTAGCCTAGCAGCAGTCAAGCCAGTAACGATCGGAACTAAGAGTGGTCAGTTCGAGAATCAGGTGGAACACTAACAGTAACTGGGGCACGTGAATGCACATCCAGCTGATAAAACCCGAAGTGGATTTAATCCGAGTAGTAGATCCCAGTGCCAGCTAGCACCGATCAAGCAACATATCTGAAAGCATCTTTGAAGTATACGTAATAGGAGCCACCGACATAACAACAAAGATAAAACATTTCCCTTAGAGGGAAATTGAAAGTGGCTTCAACAAATGCTTTTACCGCTGTAAATCTATGAAAATAAAATGAAACACCTCCCGCTTTATTCCTTCATGTACCTAGGGACTTCAAGTTAAAGGCTTGAAGTTTCGTTAACAATGGTGTTTATTTTTTACAGGATGCGGTTGCTAGCCTGCCTCATGCCCAACCTTCTCTCTTTACTAGTCTTATTACTGGCTAAGCGAGGTAAAGGAGTACGTGGGTGACCGGGGATCGAAACCCGGACCACATGAGACGTGGTTGGCGAGCATTCTACCGCTGCGCCACCGACACTTAAAGAATGTACAATCAGTTACCTCTTCAGACTCGAGTGATACAATTTTTGGTTTACATATATATACTGTGTGCGTCAGTGGCACAGTCGCTAACCATGCCTCATGTGGTCCGGAGTTCGATCCCCGGCTGCCGACGCACTCCTTCACCTCGCTAAGATAGTAATAAGGCTGGTAAAGAGGGAAGGTTGGGCATGAGGCAGGCTAGCAAGCCTATGCCGTAAAAAATGGACACCACTGCTACCGAAACTTCAAAAGCTCGAGTTTGAAGCCCTATGTTCCACTAGGAACGTAAAGGAGGGAAGTAAACAGGTGAGTGGATTAAATCAACTCATAAAACTCATAAAAGATTAATTGAAGGAAGGAAGGAATGAAGGAAATAAAAAAATAGACATACACTAGACAACTTACTTTGCATCCTTCACATGTCAAAGCACCAAAATGAAATCCAGACGATCGACCACCGCATACACGACAAGGAATATTTGATATATCAATTTCTGATTGAGTTTCTGGATCTAGATAGATGATAATTTTGAACAAAAATGTGTGAGTAAAAGGTGAGTAAAACAAAAATAAAGTGCTGAAGAAACACTTGATGAAGAAGAAAGAAAGTTGATGCAAACTCTGGCTGATAACAATTATCCAAACAAGTTCATTAGGAGATATAAAGTAGTCAGAACACCAAGACCCACTCTACAACTCGCCCCTAAGAAAGACAGCTAGACAAGACAAAGATTGAACGCTGTGGAAGCTGAGGTCATAATAATTGAGAATGTGAAGCCGATATATCCATCCATCTAAGCCCTTATAACATGCGAAAAATGATGTCACATCTCACTGTATTTACCACTTTGAATGTACGTGTGGACACACACACATACATACGGAGGACTCACCAATCTCTGCAAGTTAGGGCTTCAGAAGCAACTAGAATCCCCAGAACCCATTAATGGTGAGGACAGGAGACCTAGCTCCTCTATTGCGAAACATATTATACAGACAGGACATAAAATTGATGTTTACACATCTTTTAAAACTATCTATAAAACGCGTTTGGGGCGTATCCTACAGTTTGTATAATCCCTGGATAGCGATTAGGAAGTTTATACCAGCTTTATGCGGGCAAAACAACAATTCGTCATCACACTAAACCTACCTTCCTTGGTAAACTTTGTTTTGATAACAACCAGGGTAGATGTACTATTATTACCTCTGTAATCTGGGTTTAGTGATGTTCATTGTTATTTTGACCTTGAATATGTCCTTTTAACTTGACCTAAGCAGTTTATTTTCTCACCTCTTAACTCTTTATGAATTTCATTTATATATGTACTCCCTATGACAAGTCCATGGAGTGTGATCAGACCGTTGGAAATGTGTTGTACGCGAATACTGCTTTGTCTAAATTCATAAAGGGAACTAATTGTTTTAAAATACTAATTCAGATGACATATATATTATCGATTGTTATATTTATTTGATGATTCTACATAAGGGATTAGAGTACTTTGCAGTGGAACTCGTTGAAAATTGTGTACTATGTATTAAGGCATTTTTTTCTCAGAATTTCCCGGTGGGTGCGTACTGCCGAAGAGTCCCAAACTATGACGAAACAGCTGTCCAGTACTCCCAGGTTTTCCAATGGTTCTCTAACTAATGTCAGCACATGATGAAAATCCTGTAACTATTATTTAACTTTAAATATTGTAGATGATTTATTCTATGTCTTGGTATGACAACCCCTCCAAGTGTTTTCCAACCTAATCCTGTCAACTTAACATTATTCGATGCTGTAGATGATGCTTCATTATGGATAAGATCTTATTTTCATAAATCACACAGTGTTATACAGTAATATTAACTGATGACCACGTTCCGAGCACAAACTATTGCTTCTAATAATCATATCAAGTTACTCACACAACTTTTTCCTTCATTTTTATATATGTATGGAATGGAGTTAGAACTCTGAAGACTGTCAGTAGGACGAGTGGTATCCCATTGGGCCATATCGTTGACATTTTCACTGATAGGCATTTGATGTCATGCAACAAATTCGCTAGAGGAATTTTGTCAGACTCTGAGCACCCACTCTACCAGCTGCTCCAACCTTGTGTCTCCTCAGGTAAAACAAGAAGTCTTTTCAGAAGACTTTATGCACTTACGTCTAAGTATAAAAATTCCACTATACCATATTTGGCACGTACTTTATGTGATGAAAATAGTGTCAGAAATGAACTAACTAACCTTCTTAGCACCACTAAATAGACCATTTCCTTCAACCTTAAAGCATCATACTTTATTGTTATTGTATTTCTTATATTTATAATCCTCTCAATTTTTTCGTTTTGTTTATTTTATTTTTCATAAGTGTGGACATAATTTTAAGCTGTATTATGACTGTTAACTTTGTATTTCCCCTCACCATACTATATCAAGAGAACATTGGATTCAATACTCTATAACATGCTAAAGTTTCCAAACTGAATCGACAATACCGTTTGAAACAAACTCACTGTTATTAGTATTATTATATCTAATAATTATGTCGTAAATGTGGACCAATTCCTCCGATTAATTTTTATTTTAATTCTTAATTTCATATACATTTTGAGTAAATCAGATGCAATATTGTGACAAATACTGAGAATTCCATTCTGTATTATAAGTACTGTTTTTGGAATAAAGTAAATAATAATAATTATTATTATTACCACAGTGCCCAAGTTTTATGCTGTAGATGATGGTATGCTTGATATGCATTACACGTGTCCTAGACATTCTAATCGATGTAGATACTTATCTACCTGGTCATCCGTCGAATGATGGCAGCAGTACGGTAAAACAAGCCCAATTCGACATTAATCAATACTTGATTCTTATCAAAAACATAAACGCATATATGTGTCTTCAGGATTGATCATGACTGGGTTTCAAAACCCATGACCTTCCGGTTACAAGGTGAACTCGCAGACCATTCAGCAGCAACTGGAACCCAACCTATTGGTGCATGCATTCCATCTTCTGTCAATTCGTGATATATATATATATATATATATATATATGTAGCACGACGGCCACCCAGTGTCAGAGGCGGCTAACTATCCTCTGCCTGACTTGGTGGACGCCGAACAAACAACTTCACAACTTCTCAGTACAACTCCAGGTAACTTTCTGTATATATGGCGCCAGTCACTAGTGAGCATTAGATTGTGTTAGTGTTAAACTAGTCTTACGGTAACCACACTTACAATAATAATATATAATAATAATAATCACTTTATTCCACAACAATAACAATTTACAGCATGGAATTTTCAGCGTTTCATTTTACATATTGCATTGGTTTAGCTCTTTTTATAATTATATAAATGTATAAAATTTTAAAAATATTAATAGTTAATAGGAAAAATAAAAACCCCAACAAAATACACCATTTCTAGGTCATAGTGAATAATAAATAAATAATATAACAAATCACACATGCAATAATATGCATCATTACATTTTTTAGTTTAGTTAATGATTTAGAAGTTGTAAAAGTTCTTTTCTGATATTTGTCTCTTCACACAATACTCGTGCCAAATATGGTACGGTCGAATTTTTATATTTTGTAGTACGAGCATAAATGTTTATGAAATTTCTTCTGGTCTTACCCGAAGAGATACAAGGAAACAAATGTGAATAAAGAGGATGTTCACTATCAGACAAAATAACTTTAGCTAAGTGTTTACAAGAATTCAAATGCCTAGTGACAACAGTGTCGGTTAGTTGAGTCAAAGGGATAGCACTGACCCTACTTACAGCCCTCAATGTTCTTCGTAGTATTATATGGTCTTTTTTGAGTAGCCCAGGGAAGAATAATGGGGAACAATAAAGAATAATGGGCAAAACACATGAATTAATAAATTGTATGAGAAGAGATTGGGTTATACCTGAGTGTCTCAACTTCTTTATGTAATAAGTCAGACGGAAAACTTTCGTAGAAACTATAAGAATATGAGACGACCAGCAAAGGTTTGAAGAGAAACTAATGCCAAGATAAGAAACACTTGACTTACTCTCTATCATGGTACCATCAATATTACAACAATCATGAGATTGGATCAATCCATGCATGTCTTTTTCATTTCTCAAGCTGAAATCAACAGTATTACATTTAGTTGGATTTAGTTTAAGACCATTTGAGCTAGACCAATCCTTAACTTCAGCTAAGAAGCCATTCATATGGGAACAATCCAATGTGGAAACTACAGGGACAGAAACGGTCAGATCATCAGCATACTTAATGAAGTTAACGTTGGGTGAGTTCGGAAGGTCATGCAAAAAGAAAGAGAAAAGAAATGGAGAAAGTACTGCTCCTTGAGGCACACCACTTTCAGTTAGCTGAGAAGTGGAGCGCTTTCCAGCCAAAACAGTATGCTGTTTCCTATCCTTAAAATAAGAAGACAGCCATCTAGTTGCCCAGGACTCTGTCTGTGCTGAAATCATCTTTCCTAATAAAAGTGTCCTAGGAACAGAGTCAAAAGCTGCAGTATAGTCTAAAAAAGCTGTTCGAACGAACTTAGCACCCTTATCAAGGCAGGAAACAATATTGTGGAAGTACTGACGAACGAAATCAAAGTAAAAGGACTTGAGATGGGAAGTGTGTCTGGGACGGAGTTGTATTTCACATAAATGAAATATCAAATTTAATAAATATAAAGGTGTTATACAACTTATCTGCTGCCCTGACTGGTGCTGGGTTGGCTCGAAGAGTGCGCTGAATGAAAGCACAACGAGAGAGCGAACCAAGTATGTACAGGAGACAGTCACAAAATCAGAAGATGAAGTAGTGCCAAAAGTAGGTGAGTGCGTTGAAACAAAAGTTCAAAGGTTCAAGTGTTGGTTAGTAGGGATCTGATTGGTTACAGGAATGATCGCAAGCTGATTACAGTAAATTAACAGTCTACAAGAGCTCGCTGGTCTTGTAACCACAAGGCCATGGGTTCGAACCCTGGTCCCAAACTATGGTCCAGTAACTCTCTTTGGCGGTTTTCCAATGGTGCTCTCTACACTGATGACAGCTCGTAATCAATCCTTCCTGTAATCAATCGAATCCCGGCAAATCAACACTTGACATACCAATGTGTACTCTCTCTCTCTTCCTCGACAAAACGAAATAAGAAGAACAATGAAGAAGAGCGAAGCGATAATACAGTGTATGTGTGTGTGTGAACTAACTAACCAACTAGCTATCTAATGAGTTAGACGTGTGTAGTGAAATACGAACAGTTGGACACACACATAAAGACCGAGAGAGGTGAGGAGTAGAAACACATTAAACACAACACTACCCTAAAGTGAATACATTTCAATAAGAGATAAAATAAAATAAAATAGATAAGTAGAAAGCAAGTACATACATGCATGCATCATGATTATAATGATAATAATAATAATAATGTGACTAGACTCTGTTGTCGACTAAAAAAAGTGGTTAAAAGTAAAAGACTTAACAGAATAATAATAATAA